GTTCTGCCCATGGGGCCTGTGGGTGCCAGAGCTTCAATCCCCAGGTGCCCGCTGGTCCTGGGGGACTGGGCTGGGTCCTCCTTGTAGCAGCCACCCCTCCAGAAGGGGCCAAGCAGCTTCTCCTGGAGGAGCTGAGCCCTCCCTCCTGGGCTGAGGTTCATCTCAGTGTGGTCTTCCTACCAGCAGGACAGCCACCGAGGCTTCAGGGGCCAGGGGGAGAGACTCAGCAGGCAGAGGCGGGCGGCTGGGTGGCACTCCCACCCCTTCAATAGGGCCAGTGCTGACCTCTCAGATGCTCACTTTGGAGAAAGCACCAAACCGCTCGGGGTCTCCAGGTCTTCTGCTGACATGTGGGGACAGCAATGCCAGTTCCCTCCCAAGATCACTGGGAAGAAAACAGTCCTGGAATAATGAGCTTAAGAGAGAGACCATGCATCAGTGAGGCCATCCATGAAGCCTGGGATCAAACACTAACCCTGTCCTGAGTGACCCCCCAGGACAGACCCCGCACCCTTGTGGGGAGGAGACCGTCTCTCACGGGTGGTAGAGCAGAAAGGTCAGGAACTCGGTAAGCTGCAGTGCACTGTGCCTGGTGTGAGATACCAGGGCCACCCTGTGTGTAGCACTTTCTAGAAGTCCAACAGGTTTCGAGCATTAGCTCAGTAAATCCTTATATCAAGCCTATGCATTGGAAACAATTATCAACCCCATTTTCTAGAGCAGGCAACTGACGCTTGGCCAGGTGAGTCCTTTGCTCAAGTCACACAACTGGGAAATGGTGAGCAGGACATGAGCCCAGGGCTGCTTGACTGTGAAGCCCTGAATCCCAACCATGCCTATAGTAAGTGTGCATTTAAGATCTGGAAAGAACCCTCAAAACTGACTGGTCATTCCATTTTACAGCTGAGAAGCCTGAGACTCTGAGAAGGGAAGAGATTGGCATCGTCAGAGGGCAGCGGCTGCCAGAGCCAAGCCTCCTGCTCACATTTCCTGAGCATTCGCCCAATGACAGACCGAGTGCTTTATGTCCATCATGTCACATAAACTTTACAATAACCTTGGGAAGAGAGAGATTTAGAGATTTTATTAATCTTGTGTGTCATTTGGGTAAACTGAAGCAGAGAGAGGCAGTAGCTTACCCAAGGTCACACAGCAAATTCCTGGGAGAGGTGGGGCTCAGACCCAGAGAGCCAGGCTCTAGAGACCCCACCCAGAGCACAGAGCCCAAGTCGGCCTGCCCATCAGCCTGGGGCTCAGGCAGACTTAACTGCCAAGGGAGTGGGGCCTTCGGGTTCCCAGGGCATGGCCATCACCAGGCACAGCAGGTGCAGCAGGAGCCCCCAGCCGGGAATGCACTGTCTGAGCTGTACTACCCAGGGAGACGGGCACAGAGCTGGGGCTGGCAAGCCCAGGCTGCCCCCAAACCGTTAGCCCCCTGCTTCTGTAAAGAGAAGGGAACCCACCAAATGCAACGCAAGAACATCTTGCTCTGTGTCTATTGTTGTAGGCAGTGCACATCTTGGGAGATGTGTGGATGAAAGGCACCATATAAAATGCAATCAATTATGAATCACCATTACTGAATTAATCACATGTATGATTAATACAGTAATAATAATTAATGGGAGTAGAGTCTGGAGATTAGAGCGGAGAACTGGCAGGGAGGAGTCAGGGTGCACCTTGCAGCCTCTCCCACTCCCTGGAGGTGTTACCTTGCGGAAGCCCTGCGCTTGGGGCTTGGGGCTTGGTCTCTTTCCCCCCCAGCCCCTACCTCGGCTGTGAAGTGGGAACCCAGGGATGTCCTGAAGCCCCTCGCTGTCCTGGGCTAGTTCCCAGGATCTTACAGCTGCATTTCAACTGCTCAAGGTCAAGGGGACAAACCAAAATCTTGGTCTGGCATAACTGAGAATGGAGTGGATGTAGCAGAGGGTGAGAAACCCCCACCCCCCCCGCCCTGAGGGGCTTACACATGACTTTAATCAGTGGTGTGAGCTCATTTAATCTGTCTGTCCTTTTGTCTGTCTGCCTCAGGATTTACCTTCTCTCAGAAATCCCCAGAGATCCTGGACCTCATCTGTTACCTCTCATAGCAAAGCTAGTAGGTCATTTTTGCATGTGACTTTATAATTTCCTATTACACGTCTATTCCTTCCATGCATATTTATTTATCATTGTAAAGGAACCAAACAATGCAGAAAGAACACACATGTATGTGTGATATAAAGCATGCCATTCCCCCATCTCCCTATCTCCCTGCTCATACTTTAGCGTGTTTATTTTATATATATACATATCTAAAAAAATAGATGGAATAAAATTAAATGCATTGTTCCACAGATGCTTTTTGATAGTAGATTCCACATACACAGTTCACATTAAACCTGCAGTAGAGCCAAAATCCCACCAATGAAGAGAATGGTTTAGGCTGCTGGTGAGGGGGGGCTGGAGATGGTTTTTATTTTATTTTGTTTTGGGGGATATTCATTAACGCTTTCTTGCCCCAGTGCTCAGCTTCTCTTCCTTGCCAGAAAAAGGTCATTTGTCGTAAGTTACCTCAATGAAGTTTTAAAAATGAGCATCCCTTGACCACCTGGTCCCTATATTGGGACCCTGTTTGTTTCCCACCTTTATTACTCTCCCGGAAGGAATGAGGTATCCTCGATGCTACTGTGGCCTGCTGTCAATTCAGGATCATCGCACGGGGACCCCTTTCCGGGCCAAATCTCCTCACTATGCAGATGGAGAAACTGAGGCCAAGAGGAGGAAGTGATGACCCCAGACCACATACCTAGTTAGGGGCTGAACTGAGAAAAGCCCATTATCCCAACTCTTAAGTCAGTGCTCTTTCTACTATCCCATAATTTCCAGGGTCTGGAAACGGGGAGACCAGACAACAGGTCCCAGAACAAGGTCCCTGAAAAATTCTGCTGGCATCTGCTTGTTGGAGAGCCAAGAAGCATGGAGGAAAGTGGGGCCCAAGAGGAGTTTCAAACATTGTTTCCGGTGGCACATAGCTTCGCCTACAGGCCACCTAAACCAAGTAGTCAATAAAGGAGGATGCACCCCAGGTCCCTTCGCTGTGTTTACATGAACCATGAAAAAGAAGCGTCCTCCTCTGAGTCTTGCTGGCTGTTCCTGACAGCATCCAGTCTCATGATGATGGAGGAGCAGGGTGTTCCCGGGATTGATGGCCCTGCCCGGGGGCGACAGCAGGCTGTGGGCCAACGCGGGTCATCACTCACCCTGCCTGTGCAGGAGCCCCGCACTATGCCCATCTCTGCTGCCTGCAGGCCAAGTGCTTAGAAATCAAATCGCTGAGATCTGTTCTCTGAGGAGCTTCCTCCTGCTGGATACTTTGAGGCCAGGGAGCAGGACACCAGGGACTGGCATATACGTGTTCCTGGACAGCTCTGTGGGGTGGGCCCCTTTCTGGGAAGAGGGATCTGAGAGCATGTGCAGCAGGAGGCGCTTAACAGCCTGGTGTTGAGACCTCCTTGGAAAAGGAAAGACTCACCATTCAGATCTCACAGATGGGGAAACTGAGGCCCAGAAGCACTCTGTGCTGTGGCCCAAGTTACCCCACAAGTCAGGCAGTGGCAGAATACCATCTGGGAGTCCAAGGGCCTTGCCTCTCAGGCCAGGTCTTCCTTGGCTGTGTGACCTTGGGCAAGTTCCTTAACATCTCTAAGCTTCATCTCATCTATAACTCAGGACTTAGGTAATAGGAATTAAGTCACTGGGCTGTTGGGAGGAATCAGTGGGTAATACACATAAACTGGTTTGCATGGAGCCTGGCACGAAAGAGGTGTTCAATAAATGTACTATTGTTGGTGTTATTATTAAAGTAGATGACAGTCTTGAATTCTGCATTCTCTGACTGCTTTGTGACAATAGCCTAAATGTTACTCAGCAACACAGCCCCCTCTCCAGGCTCTGGGGGTGTCCAGAGTAGGAAAGTTAAGGTGGAGTTAAGAGGTGGCAAAGAGGTGGGGCACTGAGGCGCCACATCCTGCTCCTGTTCCTGACACCCTCTGTGACCTTGGACCAGTCCCTCTGTGTGTGTGTGTCCTCAGGCTCCTTGTTTTTGATGCGTCCAGATGATAGCGCTGGCTGCCGGAGCGCTGCGGTGAGAACCCACCCCTGAGGAGGCCCGGAGCACCTGACAACCACACGTGCCCCCGGCAGACGGTGGAAGCTCTCCCCACAGCCCCCGAGACAGCCCCGCAGGAACCCCCCGGGGAATGGGGGAGCCGGGGCTGCCCTGTGTTGCCAGCTCCGTGGCCTCTGCCCCGGCGCCTGCAGGAGCCCCCCCGACCCTCCTCCCATGCCTGCTGGGGACTGAGGCCCCTCCTGCGCCCCTGTTCTGCCCTCCCTCTGAGCTGCCTTGGCTTCTCAAAAGCAGGGCCCATCAGGGTGGAGGCGGCGATGTGTCAGCTGGTATTCAGGCTCTGGTTGTGCGCTCAGATCGCCCCCCCTCCCCATCTCCCCAAATCCACCCACCCACCCCTTTACCCACTGCTCGGGGCCTTATGGGTGGCAGCACTTAACAGAGGGAGACAGAGCAGCAGCCTTGAGCCCTTGGCTGTTGGGGGTGGGCGGACTGACTCACTTGGCCCCCTCCCTGGTGCCGATGGGGCAGTCCCCACACCCATGGGCGCTGGCACCCCGGCAGACCCCTGGGGTTTGGAAAAGGAAGCTGCAGCCCCGCGGCGCCTGACCCGGGCTGGTTGAGGATGCGCTCTGCGCGCAGGGACCCGCTGGCCCCCGAGCCGGGTGGAGATGTGTAGGCAGCGACCCCCCAGAGCAGGCTCGCTCCCGCGGCCGCCTGCTGGGGCCACCCTGGCCGCGGGCCCGCCGGGACGCCCCTGCTCGCGGCGCCCCTCCCCGGGCCGTGGCGCGTCCCCCGAGTCTCGCAGTATTTCCTTCCTGCACCTTTAAGAAGACCGTTGCTCCGTGGTGGGATGGTGTGTTAAAGCCACACAGAGGAAGTTACGCAGCCCGGATCAGACCGAGAGATAAAAGCCCCGATGGTGATCGTGAGTGATGGCAAGAGGATTTAGCCTCGGCATTAACTTGGAGCGTCGTGCAGGGGGGCAGTGAAGCGCCCCGCCATCTGGCCCGCCTGTGCGGGGGGATGCCCCGGCGCCCCGACGAGCAGCCGCGAAGCCCACCCGGGCCGGGGGCCGCTCGCTGCCCGAGCGCGGGTCCTCTCCGCGCCGCCCAGGGGGGCCAAAAAGTTTGCACTTGTTAGAGGCGACCTCCCGCTCGGCCGGGGCGGGCGATGCGGGCGGCGCGGGCAGCCCCCTCCCCCGGCCCGCGTCTCCGGGACGGCTGCGGGCGGCCCCCCCGGTGGCAGGAGGGCGCCCCGGCCCCGATCTGACGGCCGCGGAGGCACCGCGGCGGCGGGAGCGGAGCGGGAAGCGCACGGCTCGCCGCCCTCCGGCCCTCGTCCCCAGCCAGCGCCAGCCGGGGCGGCGGTCCTCGGCCTCCCGGGTCTGCGCTCCGGGAAGCCGCTCCGAGCGGGGTAAGGCGCACGGGCAGAGCCCGGGAGGCGAGCGGGGGAGCTGCGGCGGCTTTGCCAGCCTGGTTTCATTTTTGAAGGGCTTCGGTGACCATGCAGGCTTTCCCGGGGCCCGGGAGCTACTTAAAGCAGCCAGCAGCGGCTCGGATGCAAAAGTTGTCCGGTCGCGGCTGCGACTAGCGGAGGGCTGGAGTCGCTGGAGAGGGGTGTGTGAGTGCGCATTTGTAGCGGCGTCTTAAAGGAGTAGCTTGTCTTTCCGGCTGCCTTTTTCCTACTAGGGTCTTTTTCCATCGCGTGCGTGCGTGCGTGTGTGTTTGTGGTGGGGGGCGGAGGGTGGGTGTTGCAAGAATGCCTGTGGATGTGTTCGTGGAAAGGAAATTAACCGTTCTCCCTCGCTACTCCCCCAACCCAATTGAACAGCCACCACCTAGAGCCACCCCTCGTCCTCGCATCCCCTTCCCATCTCTGCGAAAACTGGGTGTGTGTGAGTTGCACAAACTCTTGTCCAGCCAAGGCTGGGAACTTCGTTCCGCTGTGGAGGGGTGGGCTAGCGGGGGAGGTGGTGCTCGGGGGCCAGCTTGGGGACGACGTGGATCCAGCCTCGAGCTGGGCGGCTCGCAGGTGGGAGCAGAGGCATAGGGGAGGCGGGAAGAGGACCAAGGAGGGCTCGCTGGGTCAGTCCGCTGCGGAGTAAGTTGCGGGCCTGGGTGGGGGGCGGCGGCGCAGGGTGGCTGCTCGCAGGGGCTTTGGGGAAAAGTGCAACTAAGTCCCCGGCGCTTTGCTCCTTGTCTTTTAATTAGGGGAGGCGTGCCAGACGAGGGGGGCACCCTCCCTGCCGGCCCAGACTTTATTAAAGCCGTGCTTATTAATTGCTCCCGTAGCTTGCTCTCAACTTCGGAAAGACACAGAGCAGCTGCGGGGGTGTCCTTCACGTCCCTGCGCGATGCACGCCGCCTGCAGCCCACCCGAAGCAGAGACTCGACCCGTGATCCCTAGGCCCGCAAGGAGCGAGCCCTCCCCCAGCCCCGGCCCCAGCCGTCCGGCCACGGCGTCCTCCTCGCGCGCCCCACCCCCAGCTCTCAACTTTTCGGGGCACCACAGCCGCCGAGAGGGCGTGGGGTCTTTCTCCCGCTCCCCTTCCGGCGCTGGGGGCACCGGGGCCGGGATGCTTGCTAAGCGGGCGGTGAGCGCGGCACCTCCTGTACCAAGACCCGGCGTGGGGCGGGAATGTGCCCCCGGAGCGGACCCTCTGTCCTCCCGGGCCCCGGGCACCGCCCCCTGAAGGCAGATTTCACGCCCTCCGCTGCTGCCACTGGGGAGGGAGGAGGATTTCGGGGTGGAGTGGGTCCCGGGAGGAGCCCCAGCGCCCCCTCCAGTGCCCGGCAGGGGCCACGCGCCACGGCCGCAAGTTTCCCACGAGGCGAGGGCGCAGCCTGCAACTCCGGGAGGAGCTGCTCCGAGCCCCGCTAGCTCCGAGAGGCGCTAATTCAATAAGACAGAGAAATCTGAGTTCAGAAATCCTGGTAAAATCTAATTTTCGGGTTTTAATACCCTGGCTATCAGCCCCCCCTCGGTTCCTGAGGACTCTTAAAAGAAAATAAAGCGCATTGATTCCATTTGTTTCTGGGAGCTGCAGTTTCTTAATAATATCAGGTGAAGATTTATTTTCCAAGGAGAAAACGATCCGCCGGGATATAACCTCTCACTAAGAAATTTCCCCTGCTGGCTTCTCGCTCCCTGCTCCCCGCCTCGTTATTGCGGGGACTCTTGCCTGTCTGCCCCCTCCCTCTTTTTCCTTTTTGGCAAAAACCCGCTGTAATATTCGCGTGCTGAGCTGACAATTCCCCCTATGCTGCCAGCAACGCCCAATTGATTGACTAGCTGTAAACACATTTATTAACCGCCACCACCACCCCTTCCCCCAGCCTGCAGATTTGCTTGTTGGCTTACCCCCATCCCGTCATTTTCCAGCGAATGCGTGGCATTTAAAACCAACAGTACTGCACAGCAATTAATAGATTTGCAAGTTCGGCCCAGCGCGGCTCTCCGGGGCCTCCCGGCCTCGGGCCTCGCTGCCTCCCCCCGCCCCCGCCCCTGCGCGGCCAGGGTCCAGCGCTGTCCAAGCCGGGAGCCGCCGCTGGCCGGGCGGATGAAGGAGGACCACGGCTGGGCCCTCCCGTCGAGCCGCAGCCCCGCTCCCTGTTGTCCCCGCCGTCAGGAGCTCCCTACCTGTTAGTGAACAGTTGGGAGTCCGCGGCTGGAAGAATTAATTAGGGACATGCTGTTTTCTGGGCAGCTCAAAGCTGAAGCACGGATGCAGGCATCCAAACCCATCCAAACCCTTCCCGGTCGCGCTATTTTATTTTTACTACATTTTCTCGGGTTGTAAAAATAGTCGCCAGGCGATTCTTTCGGAGAGTTTTCTAGCAAGGAGCGCATTCAAGGCCAGGCAGGCTCTATAACAGGTTTCTCTTTAAATAGCCAGAGGTGAGCGGTGAAAATGTGGTCCCCTTGGCCCCTCGTTCATCTCCATCAAGAGCCCTTCAGCTGGAGAGAGGGGCAGGGGCCGCCTTAATGCAGATTTATGATTCCTGGGGCCTGCAGCGCTGGGGCACTGGCTAGGGGGTTCTCCGGTGAGCGGCCAACCTCCTTTGGAGAATGTCTGCCCCTACAGTGTTACTTGGGGCAGGAGTGTGTTTGTGTCTGGGTGGAGAATGGGGTTTCATTGGAAGCATGGTTAACTGTTCAGGGTCCTTTCATGTCAATCATGACAAGGATGTCAGGGGAGTCGGGCTGACCATACCACCAACATCCAAGCAATTTGGGAATTAAGCTGCAATACTCATAGGCGTAATAACCAGAGTAATTAATACTTGCGCGCTTCTGCTGTGACTCATTGCAGTAACCTTTGCCCTATTGGGTAGTATTTTGGCCGTGATTGCACACTAGCTGGACTCAGATATCAAGTGTCTGGGAAGGCACCACATTACTGGAGTCATGTTTCTCACAATGTCACATTCATCTTAGTTATATCTAGTTGGGCTTTTAAGTAATTACCAGTAGTTTAAAATGGTAAAGCAATAATCATAATAGTGAACAATAATTGACATTCTCTCCAAGGATGATAGCAACATTTTGGCCTCAATCAGAAAATAATATGATACATCATTGTCACTTCTGTGGAAGACTTCAACATCCTAGTTTCTTACAGTTAAAAACTAAACTCACCATGTCAGAGTTTGGCAAGATTACTTATGGACACCTGGTTCTTACATGTTGCCCAGGTGTGACCCACTCTGTTTATCTGTACCTGTACTAGCAGGCTCTCCCGCACCTACAGTGACAGTCTCCTTTCTGCCTGTAACAGCTTTGACATTTTGACTTGTCAACCATGGTTTTAAAACAAAAACAAAACAGCACCTGGGGATGTTTTGAAAAGTTGCTGACCCCATGCGGGGGCACTTCCGCTGATCAAACACCCCCCAAGTGAGGCGAAAACACATAAGCTTTTTAATAATGTGCCCAGTCTCCACACGTGCAGCTCTGATATTAATAAAAATAACCCAGTTTCTCAGGAGACCTTGCTAATGCAGCCTCATTTTTTTTTTTTTTTGCCCATTTTGCCAGAGAGCTTTTGTTCTTATCCATCTTTATTCCCCCCTCCTCGTTTTAATTTGTTGCAGGTGTGGTTGCTAATGAGCTCTTTCCTCTTCTCTTAGGATGAAAGACAAGCCAGGCCCCGGATACCTGGATGGATTGAAAGCTGGAGTCTCAGAAACTTCATAACAAGTTGCCGATGGCCACCGGCCAAGGTCAGCTGGCCCCCATTAGTGCCTGTCCCCACTAAAGCAGAACCGAATAAGCTTCTTTCTAGTTAACGCCTCAGTAGCTTTTTATGTTCTAGTCCAGCCACATAATTGTTGTCCCTTTAAGCCCATATGAAAAGAAATCTCTTTTATTGGTCTGAGATGCCAAGTCCAGTCCCATAGAGAGAACATGTTTCCAGCTAACACCTACACCTCCTGATTTTATTGTATCTTTACAATGCAGGCTGGAGGGTTGTTCTGCAGTTGTGTTGAGCATATCACACATTAAGGGCCCTTTAAAGACCTGGATTGATTGGAAGGACAAAAATTAAAAGCAATCTGATCCAGCCTCCTGCCAGATCCCTGCGGATTTTCTCCCTATCCCATTTCCATCCACTGTCACAATTTGAGAGTCCGCCTGATTTGATCAGATTCGCCTCTGGGAGAGGTGTAAATGCAAGGTTAGGAGGACGCGGAGTTACAGGCGACTTTTTGATCTGCCCATCAGCAGTCTGAGAAACGCTGGCTCTGAGTTTTCTGTGTTGGCCTTTTGGAAAAAACAAGTTCCTTGCTGTTTGCAACCTGGCAGCACTCAAGTCCCGGGGACATCCAGCCACCATTGCTTGGTAGATGTGGCGTTTCCATGCTGAGGCCCCGAGTCCCGCCTGCCCCAGCTGCTGCCTCTCCAGGGCCTCTCTGGGCCGCGCCCTGTGGCCTGCGTAGCCATGCTGCGCCTGCTGGCTCTTCTCCTGTACTGCCTCCCGCTGGCCTCTGGGGACTACGACATCTGTAAATCCTGGGTGACCTCGGATGAGGGCCCCACCTGGGAGTTCTACGCCTGCCAGCCCAAGGTGATGCGCCTGAAGGACTATGTCAAGGTGAAGGTGGAACCCTCGGGCATCACATGCGGAGACCCCCCTGAGAGATTCTGCTCCCACGTAAGTCACCTACTGATGTTCTATTTGCTCAGGCCAAGTGGGAGGGAGTCTGGGACAGACCCTAGGGGTGGGTGAGCAGAGTGGGAGGGCCAAGATGCAAGGTTGACTTTCCGGGCATCTTGGATTGGCACCAGGTCTCTGTTCCACCTTGGAAATGTGCCAAAGTGAAGGCCCCCTTGACAGCCCTAGGGTCATGTGACATGGCTCTCTGGGGTGGGGAAGTTACTGGCCATCTGCCCACTAGATCCATTTCCTCTCAGGAAGACCACAGTAGTCACAGTTCCCTGGCCTGGCACACAAGCCCTGCTTCCCTTGTAGGAAGTTAGCATTCTGGGCGAGTGGGCCATGTGCTATTTGCAATGTTACCCTCTGACCCCCTCGTTCATCCCTTCTGTGCTGCAACCTCCTGTCCCACTTGATCCCATCCCGGAGACAGTTTTGCCAGGCCAGGGGATGCTGGGCACCAAGCGGCACTTTGCAGCGGAAGGTCTGATGGAAGTGCAGAGGGGATTGGTAAGGCTGGGGCTCAGACCAGGATGGACGGTGTGTCTGGTGCCCTCTCCAATCCCATTCCTATGTGTGGCGACTGTGGTTACTGGTTACGTCGCGGGGGAAGGCAGACGGTCAGGTGCTGTCACTTGAGTCCTGGTTAGAGACTTAGAATGCTTCGGTACTCAATAATATTGACACCACCACCAGTAACAATAACAGGGATCCCTTATGCGAGCTCCTCGGGCGTGCAGGCCAAGAGCTGGAGGTGCGTCCTTCCTTGGAGTCCTCCCCTCAGCTCAGCCAGGTTGATTCTGGGTGGTATAAAGTGGGAGTTTGGTGGGTGGGCTCTGGACCAACGGCATCTCTGGGCTTCTGTTCCATCATTTGTAATGGACACACACTCATAGGGTTGTTGTAAGGAGTAAGTGAGCTAATTCATATGTGCAAAGTGCTCAGAATAGGGTCTGGCACAGAGCAGGTGCCCCGTAGATGTTAGCTGTCGCCGTCATGTTGTACAGGTGGAGAAACTGAGACCTAGTGTCTCACACACACACACACACATACAGTGGTAAATCTGTGATTCAAGGGTCGGGCTCCAAAGTCACTGAACTGCCTGCCTGCTGAGAGGTCCCTGCCTGCTGGGCAGTGCTTTGAATGCTTGGCAGGACCTGATGAGAGGGTCTCCCTGTCATCCTCAGGGTGGCTGCTGCCTCCACATATCCTTGCGGGAACCTGTAGGTCTCTGGGCTTATGGCCAGACCAAGCAGGTATCCCCCTGCCCCACACAGCAGGTTCCTGCTGTTCTGTCACAGAGCGGTCAGCCTGGGAAGGTGGGTCCCCACCTGGATGGTCAGCTGTTGTGAGGCCGTCACTGTGGGTGGGGGCCTGGCTGTGGGAGCCAGCTGGGAAGAGAGGGAGGGAGGGAGGGAGGGAGAAGGGGGCACAGGGACCAGGGACTAGAGTCCATGGGGATCACTGCACTGGGGACACCAGGGCTTCCCTGGCTCAGGGACAGGCAAGGAGGCGTCCCTGCAAGGTCAGGGGCAAGGCTGGGGGGAGCCCAGCTCTGAACCCGCAGCCAGCTGGCTGCCCGTGCCAGCTCATGTGAGGGCTTCCCCACCGTTTCCTGAGCAGTCAGTTCTCCCTCTCGTTTCAGTCTTGTCTTCTTCTCTGAAATATTAATCATCTCCTTAACATGCTGAGGAAGGGGGTAGGGGTGGGGCTGGGAAACCGTAATTCCCTGGACCACATCTGGTCACGGGCTTGAGGGGTGCAAGTGAACATGGAATGCTAGTCCGAGGCCCTCTCCTGGCCAAAGCTGGCTCAGGATGCCCTCGGCCCTGGGCCTCTGCCCAGCCCCCACCTCACACAGATCTCCCGCTGCAGCTACCAGGGTGGGTGGTAGCCCTCGCCTCTAGTCCTGGTGCCAGTCATCCTGAGTCCTGGCAGGTGCCCTGGATCCCTGGAGCCAGGAGAGGGCTCTTGCCCCCTTCTGCTCTCCGGGAGGTGGGGTGAACAAGCGCAGCAGCCCCACCACCCCCCTCACAGGTGGGCCCTCAGCACCTCCACACCTGTCTGACGGATTTAAATATTCCATACGGGCTGCCATCCAGCTCTGCCTCTGATTACAAACGTGGGGCCACGGAGGATGAGGATGATGCCTAGCAGGTGTGGAACGCCCTTTGGTGGGGCCGGCCTCTGTGGGGAGGGTGGCCACATCTGGACGAAAGCCTACTCCCACGCCCCCGTTGATGGCACTTCCTGCGAGCGGGCCCTGTGCCCGTCTCGCTCAGTCATCTCTCGGGTGCTCTGAGGTGGGTGTTGTTCCAATCCCACTTTAGGGATTCGAAAGGGTTGCCTAAATCCCGTCAAGGTCACTCAGTTTAGAACACAGGTGGGGAGCCTGCCCACAGCCAGGGCCTATGCTTACCCACCAGGTGGCACGACCCTGTTCTCTGAGCCTCAATTGCTTCCTCTGTAAAGTAGAGAAAATACTATGCAGGTGTCACAGGGCTGGCGAGAGAGTGCAGCCCGACCATGCGGGTCCTGGGTGCAGAGCTGCACATAGTAGGTGCTCCATGGGCGGTAGTGGCCATTCATTTCTTAATCACCCCTTGGAGGCGTCCCTGGCTTTTCCTGTTTGCACCTCTCCGTCCTTAAGCATGACAAGCCCTGTGTTTCTAATCTCTGGGCGGCAGTAGGAGGTCTCTGCAAGCTCAGGGAGAAGCTGAACCTCCTCCGCCTTGGCAGGTGGCGTTAACCGGCCGCCAGGGGGCGCCCGAAGGGCAGCTGGGCTGCCCATGACCCCTGAGCCTTACATTGTCAGTGGGTCCCTGTTCCCTAGCACCTGTCCTGTGGCGGGTGCTGGGCCTGTCCAACATCCAGCCAACGGGTGCTTGAGCCCAGGGTCACCCCAAGGGTGCCAGAGGGGCCAAGGGGCGGCTGCCCTTTTCAGGGTTCAGGGGGCAGACGCTTTCTCCTTGCAGGCTTCCCATCCTTCCACAAGGCCTCCTGGGAACTGAATTGTAAATTCCAGCCTGGTGAGGAAGGGGAGGGAGGAAGAAGACCAAGATAAATGAATAAATAAAACCCATTGGCTCTAAATGCACAGTGAGAATTAATAGGGATGAGCTCTCAGCCGAGGCTTCTTGGGCAAGGGCAAAATTTCAATGAGGGCTGCTGGGGAGACAGGCAGCCCCTCCCCGCTACATCCCCAGGCCTGGCCGAGGGGCCAGCGTGGTGGAGCTGCGGTGAGGGCAGTCCTGGCAAAGGCTTCTCGGCCCCTGGCCAGAAAGATAGGGAATGGGGAAGGCGTGGTTGGGCGAGAGGAGGCTGCCCACCTGCACTGCCAGGAGAGGAAGGGGAAACCCTTTCCTTCTGCCTCTGAGATAAAAACCAACTATGGAGCCTCAAGATTGAGCTGGTGGGAAGGCATGGGGTGGGGGAGCTAGCCACAGCCAGGCCAGTGGTATTTAAAGCAATCCCATGGGTACCCGCTTGCTCCCAAAGTGTAGTCCTTGGACTGCCTCCCCTTGTTTGAAATGCAGAAGCCCAGGCCCTGCTGCAGACCTACTGAGCCAGACCATCCTAACAAGAAATGCAGGTGGTTCGGACGCAGGCAGGGCTTGGTCTGAGGAATTCTGCTCTGCAGAATTGCTCGGTGGTGGGTGAAACCCAATACTGACGTTCCCAGGGGATCTTCACAGGTTGTGGGGTGAGTCGCTGCTGCTGAGGGAGACAGATGAAGACCAGGAGACACACGGGGGTCCCATGAGAGAGGGGGTGGGGCTGGGAGCTGAGCTTCCAGAGAGAAGCTGCAAGAGCTACAGACCTGAATCTGGAGACCTGAGCTGGCATCCCAGCCCTGCCACTTCTGGGCTGGTGGGTCTGGGGCAAGTTTTTAAGTGCTCTGAGCCTCAGTTTCCCCATCTGTAATGGGGGTGCTGCCTTGCTGACCCCACCAACTTCCTTGGGAGAAGAAAATGCCCCTCAACATATCTGAAAGTACTTAAAGAGCTTACATTCTATTCCAGTGTAAGGGTTTGACTTATGCTCTATCTGGTCTTGGTCACCTTGACCCTGGATAGATGAACTTGAAGTTCTCTCCAAGGAGACGTCAGCATGTGGAGATGCCTTGGTCTCAGCAGACAGGGACACCAAGCAAAGGCCATGAAGGTCTATCTTTCTGTGATCACACTTCTTCCTCAGAACTGCTTTACCTTCTCTATGCCTCAGTTTACTCAAATGCAGAGTAAATGGCCCCCATCCCTCCCCCAGGGGATCTTCTGGGCTGGTTAATGCAGATGGCAGGTAGGTCCTGGAGTCCTCAAGTCCGTCTTCACCATGACATTGAGCGCCACATGCAGATTCAAGGTCACAGGTGCCCTGCCTCCTGCCAGACCCCGATGTTCACAGAAGCACCGAGCTGACTGGTCCACTGGCTCAGGCCTCCTGCCCCTCTGCCTTCCTGGTCCCCAAACCTGTAGGCGAGAGCGTACCGGACACCCCTCTCAGCCTCTCCCCCTCCCGTTCCGCCCTTCCAGACAGCAGCTGCTTCCTGGGTCTGACCTTGTGCCAGGCACAATTGTCATAGGAAAGTGAGGTGACTTATAAGTCAGAGTAGACAAGAGAAACAACAGATGCTAAAGACACCCTCAGTTAACGAGGAGTGGGTGATGCGGAGGCCTGGTGTGATGGGAGCTCGAGGAGGATGCGGACACATCTCCCCTGAGCTCTCCACGCTCCGGCTTTACTGCCAGGTCTCCAGCCTCCTAGTATCTGCCGTGATGCCTTCCTTTTTCCTTCATTTCCATGGCTTCCTCATTTACCTCGATGACCCTGGTTCATTTTTCAAGGTTTACGCTGGATTCTACCTCCTCCAAGAGGCTTTCCCTGATTCCTAGGTGGGTTAGAAGGTCCCCAGAGGATCACATCCCTATCAGTGTGCTCTCTGATATGGCCAAGTGTTTAAGGGCTCAGGCCCTAGAGGTGGAGAGACACAGGTTGGA